AAGCAGTGGTATCAACGCAGAGTACTAATCTCCTCAATTCTTTGCAAAACGCAGTGAAATTGCAAGAAACACAGCTCAACGCTGCCATTGAGCACATCAGTGCACGCAGTGAAGAAAAGGAACGAGAGAAGCTGATGGTTGAACTTAGCAAGCATGTGGAGCTGGAAGCACTCGATCTGGAAGTGATAGCAGTTCAATGGCAAAACAGAATACAGTTCAGACAACTGGAACTGAGGGAGCAAACGACACTTTTGCATACGGCTGCTCCCAGTATTCCGAGTCAGCCAGACAGCGAGATAGGAAAAGGCTCAACAATGGAACGAAGTGAACGCCAGATCAGGATCCGGAAACCGCTCCTAGAGGTTCCTACATTCTCTGGCAACTTCAGAGAGTTCAACAGTTTTTGGACAGTGTTCGATTCGCTTATTCACTGTGACGAAGACTTATCGGATTGCGACAAATTCCTTTTTCTAAAGCAAGCGCTCAAAGGAAAAGCAGCTGCTGCTTTGAACTGCATCCCTGTTGTCGGAGACAAGTACCAGACAGCCGTCAACATTCTAAAGAAGCACTTCGATTGCTCTGCCAACATGGCAGACATACTCATCAAGGAAATCGAACGACTTCAAGGAGCAAAAGACAGTCCCGAAAGTTGCCGAGAAACGTTCGAAGCAATTAGTTCACGTATCATCCATTTGGAACAAACCGGAATGAAGATGAGCGCAGACAGAATTTGGCGCAGAGTGATTCTGTCCAAATTTCCTGAAGACATCTGCGCAACCGTCATACAGAAGGAAGCCGCAAGTGGAGATCAATTCGATGTTTCTAGGATCCTAGACACGATCGACGACATCATCTCTCTACGGGAAACGACTGCGTTAACAATGAAGACACTCATCCCGAGTACCCTTGAAACAAGCAACCATCAGAACACAAGTCATGACGATCCGAAATGGGAAGAGGAGATAGAAAATGTCGACCAGCCTCACTTTCCTACTAGCTCCAATCATCATTTGCGAGTCTCCAAGATACTGCAAAGAACCAACTTCGATCATCGCAAAGCAAGACAAGAATTCTACAGCTCAAGCAAACTGCCAGTCATGTGCCAAAGCGTACTTCAAACGGCTTCAGCCATGATATTCAACGAGGCAGATTGGGACTATCAACCCATAACAATACTGATTGACTCTGGCGCCCAGCGAAGCTTCATCAGATCAAAACTTGGTGAAGATCTTAAGCTGCCAGTCATCCAAACGACATCATTCACCACATCAGGAATGGGAGAATTGAAAGAAACATTCAGTTTCAAAGAAGTACAAATCACTTTGAAAAGCCTTCACAACACAAAGAAGCTTAAGAAGATATCAGTGCACACGAAAGAGAAGTTGACTGCCAACCTACATACAGCACATCTCACAGATGCAGATGTTCACTTCATTTCCAATAAGAACTTGAAGATAGCTCAAGATACGCTCACTCATAAAAGCGTCTTGCCTGAACTCATTATTGGACAAGATCTTCTCAACCTCGTCACTGTTCACACCGAAACAGTACTCAAGCTTCCTTCGGGGCTCATCTTAACCTCCACCATCTTTGGATATGTCATATCTGGTACAAGCCGTACCAACGTGAGCGCAGATATCGTCGGCACTTTTGGTTGTACATCCACAATGCAAAAAGCCTCCAAACTCGCTTCTCACTCTCAAAGACACTTCAAACGGCTCACAACAAAGAAGATGTTCGCCGTTCTCAATCAAAACGCTACAGGTGGAATCAACAGGAGAATCTTCCGAGTTCATACTGAAGTACCATCCCAGAGGACCGCGAAGTCGTTACCGAAAAAGAGCAAATCCCAGACAGCTGCTGATAATCGCGAAGCTAAAGCAGACAGACAACGATGGTTGGCCAAAGTTCGCTGCATATTAGGCTCCATTTCCAGCTCCAACACGAGGAGTGCGAATGGAATTCTTGCCAGAACACTTCGACCGACCTCACAAGCTAACATAAAGATGACGGACATGTCGAAGATCACACATCACAGACATCTGATGACGGAAACCACTGCTATCACAAAGACAATCACCGATAACGATTCTGGCAACTCAAAATCGAGAGGGCAGAACCGACGAGGAAGAAGAGACGACGACGAAAGGCGAAGCTACACCACGGAACAGCAACCACCAACCACTACAATTGATCACCGTAAATTCTCTTCCGTCTGTATCTCCCATAAGTATGTCTAAGTCTATACAAATCTATGCATTTGTTGTATCTTGTGCTTACCAGATTAACTTCTTGCTTGCTCGCCCGGAGTGTTGATGATCTATGAATCATCAACCTCGACAACCAATCTAATAGCTGACACTTATGAACACAGCTATATCTCAATTTCTAAGTACAAATGCTTTTAGGAGGTTTTGATTGTATTTATTTATTTACATCTTAACAGATTTCGCCTCCTTCTTGCTCGCCCGGAGTGTTGATGATTTATGTACCATCAACCTCAACAATTCTATAATCCTAATAGCTTACGGGTATTCCCCATAGGCTATATTCCCCAATCACTTATATTTAAGTGCTGAATCACTCACCAATGAGTGGCACCTATCTTCCAGGGACCGCGCCAAGCCGCGGCATCCTCTTTCTTGCATATATTTCGTGGACATTCCGATTGTGCACGGGTCAGCTCCGCCTTACTACCTATATAAGGAGCCCCCGATTGTATTATAAGTTGCTTCCCCCGGTTCAACACCGGGGTTCGTCTGTGGATAAATTAATCGACACCACTATCGTCAACTACACTTGGTTCCCACCAAAGCCTTTTTTGTTTGAAATAATGGGCAATTTTTGACTTTCCAAGTAATCATAAAAAAGAGCTTGGAAAGTTCTTGCGAAATGTATGCCATATGTCGAGGGACTTTCGGGTGCAGCAGCACAAATTCGCATGGCGTTCAAAAAAATCTGTCTGACTCCTTTGAAGCGCCGCTCGAAGGAATATTGGTGAGATGCTGCAAGGTGCTGTCAAGATAATCTGTAAAGGTCACTTTATACAAAAGTGTTCAAATTACTGGTTATTCATAGCTAATCAGAAAGAGATCTTGAAGAATGTTTGAAAAATCAAGGTGCCCCATCACTTGGATCACCCTAATAGAAAAAGTTACAAGCCATGATGAAAATCATATTGCTAAGGAATTGTGGATGCAAAGCGAAAATTTGGTGAACGAAGCCTCGGCTAAATGTTGGAATAGAGCATGCGGCTATTTACTTTATTTAGCTCATACTTAAGGGTGAGCTGAAGGCAGGAACGTACTCAGTTTTGCAATTCCTTATGCACGATTTTCTGCTCATAAATTAGTCTACAAATGCGTTTAGCAGATTGAAAGACAGATTTGAAGCCAGCGTTCCATGCCATATTCTATAATGTGCAGCTTATTTAGACTGGCCACTGCGGTTTCTGTAGAATGCCCTTGTAAGAGTGTTTTGATTCTTCGCATCATCATAAATTAGCTGACACACCCGGCTCGCTCCGCTCTGTTGATACTACAATATGATAAAGACCTGCATGTACCCTAAAATCCGGCATATAAGAACGGACTTATCTGCAGTTTTGGCAGGAAAATCGATGGAAAAACGCCGCAAAAGGTCTCACAGATAAGTCCGCCTAAATCCTCTCGCAGATACGTCCGTCTGTCCTGAGCATATATAGCACAGCCGGACTTATCCGCGGGACTTGGCGGCGCGCGAGGCGCGCGAGGCTGTCACGAAAGCGGACTCAACTGAGAGCTCTTTTGCGGTCTTATCGGCGAGGCGGTCTTTACTGCGAGGCGATCTTATATGCCGGATTTTAGGGTAGTTACATACAGCGCTTTCGCGTTCCGTTTCCACCTATGCCTGTGCCTGCTGTCGCTATGGTTTCGTGATCAGCATTCTTACCACTATGCCATCCCCAGCACTATAGCCAAACTTTACAAAGAATCGATGAAAGCGACAAAATCGGAATCAGTGAACAAAAAAGTAGTTTGCGAAGAAGTGCATGTATGACAAATTTGGTCCGGATCGGTTCGAAAATAAAATGCGGAACTTGAGTACAGATAGACATACACATCTCAGCATACACGTAAGCAAACATTCAGTTTTGAGTAACATTAGACTCGAATGGGTTTGCTTAGTAATAAATGGTACAAACAAGGCTCGTAATTTACTATCAGAATGCTAGCCTATATTCTAGAAGCCTAGTTGTACACTAAAATTTCAGCCTTGTTCCCCAGATGGCTTTAAATCAATTGTTCCATAAAATCTCCATGTTACATACGGCGCTTTTGTAAGTGCCTGATAGCGCGGTTCAAAGCTTAGAATCAGAAGTTCTTCTCTATGATGGTGCTAGCTTTCACTTCGGTCAACATCACTCTACCCATTCCAAGAATCCCGAATACTCCAAAAAACCCACCTTCTCCAGTAGGTACTGTCTGCCCCTGTTTTGTCGTAACAGTTTCTATCACAAATGACGATAATATACCGACAAGATAGTGTTTTCCAAACAGGTGCTGAATTAATGGCCCACCACTGTCTCCCTAAAAAAATGAAAAGAATCGTTTATCCACGTGCAGTCTCATCTAAAATGTAGTACAACTCTAATTCCTTTACGAAAGTTTCTTTCTATGCAAACGCAAACCCCTAACAATTTCTCGAATCCTCGAAACTATATCTATCTTATGCTTTTTCAAAATCAGACTGTGAAAGGTAGTAAAGGTAAGCATGATGCTTGTTCAACTCACAGCGATACTGGATTCATTCTTATACTTAGTGTAGGCCACAATAGCACTTTCTTTGAATATTTTGTTGTGAACTACGGCTTGTAAAGACTCATCCCCTTCTGAAATTGTAAATTGAATAAAACAGAAGAAAGTAAGATAGAACATATCCGGAAATTTCAACGTCACTTGATCTTCAATGATTTTTGTACATACATAGGCGTAATTCAAATGGAAAAGCAGCTTTTTGCGTTAACCATTGTGTTTATGAGCGGCTAGCTCTTTACTTAAAGGCTGCAAAAGTGAGTATACGGCAGTGGAACAGATTGAGGATTCTGTGCAATATCTATGCATCAAACTAAAACGGTTGTGCACCCACAGCTCTAGCGCAAAGCTGAGCCCAAAAAACAGAATTCGCGATGTCGTTCTAAAGAATGAATTCCTTTTCTTTCACCCTCCCCCTTCCTCCCTCATCCCAGAGGCCAATCTTTACTGTAGTGAACCGGCGCACTATTTCTTTCCAGGCCCTGAACAAGTCCGCGTTACACTCACTGTATTTTCCGTATCCGATGGATACGAGGTTTTGAGGAGTATTAGCATTCCCTTTGGGCATGCAGATAGGAGAATTTCGTACGTCTTGCTTGAGCTCAATCGCAGCTATATCATTTGAAGTTTTATTTCTACATGCTTCGTATACGTCATCATAGTCTTGATGCACGTGTACCTAAACGAACACCGTGATTTTAGGTGTGATATCAATGTTCAGTCTCACAAACGGAAATTCCACTTACGGAAGCCACTTCAACCATTTCGTTATCCCTCCACGTTGCACCCCTAGAGCTTCCAAGAAAAACACGAATTTTCTGGGCGGTAAGTTTACGAAGTGGTAAACTGGAAACAGTTTTTATGACCCTCGACGAAAAGTCGAATCTAAGCGTACCTTTGTTTACACGTAAACTCTTTATTCAGGAATAAGCAATGTGCAGCAGTCAGGATATGGCGAGATGATATCAGGACGCCGCTGCAGGCGGGTGATTCTAAGGTTATCTCAGGACCTATCACTTTGGAATAAGGTTCGTAATAGAAAGTCTCTGCAAAACTCTCATGGTTTATTTTTCATGCATTTGCGCTTGCGTACATATGTCACTTCAGGCGCTAACCTCTGATCCGGGACAATGCAACCGCAAATGGCAAATTCACCTGGTTGGCAGCAAATCGCGTTGGTGGCTGCACTAAATGAGAGGCTCTTATCGTGACTGCAACTACTCAAAAATCAAAGAATGGTCAGATTGAAAATAGTTCTACCTGAATTCAGATGCCAATCACTTCCGTTGGAAAGACGCCAAATACCTTGAATAGGTATTAAGAAAGAAACCCCTCCTTTTCAGCTCTTTACTACTATATACAAGTCGTGCAAGGTTTTCGAATCTTTCATGTGATTTGGTGAAACCGCTATTGGCTGATATACGCTGAATTCTTCTGTTCTGTTTTGGTAGGCAAAATTGATGCAATCTACTTCGTATATGTAAGCATGAAAATTATCAAAACTTGATAACCAACAACATCAATTTAATATCCCGGAATGGTGTGATTTTGCAGTTTCTACGGTAGATCTCCAAGATCAACTTTATTTACTGCCTAAATGGGGATCCCGTACTTAAGGGAAAGTAAAATTACACATCAGTAAGTGCCGAAAAAGAGTTTCTTGTAATGTGTAACTGAGAACTAATTTGCTCACTATAAAGAAGCCATTGTTCGGATTTGCCAAGCAAAACTCAAGTCAATATTTTTTCTAGCTTACCTGTCCCTTTGGCGTTGCACCTTTCCTTCAGCATCCAATTCTCTTGCCAGGTAATCTTTCCCGCGTATGCTGCTTGAAGCAGATAAAGCAACCAAAGTATGGTCATCTGAAGAGTTTCACATTCCATTGATCGCGTCTTGATCCAGTATAAAAATAAATCAAACGTATACTCTCTTAGCTAACGTAAGAGGAGATCTTTTTTTTTAAATTTTTTTTGAATTTTCTAGTTGAAGTGACTCAGTTACAAATTAAGCGAATGTTTCCAAAAATCTGGCTCTCCAACATCTTATTACTATAAGAGAAATATTTATCTACATCGAACAACCTATTGATGTTTTTCGTTTTGCAGAAAGTATTAGCTAGAGACACAGCATTTACTCCAAAAGTGGGAGGCCATGACTATGGAAGGCAAAAGGCGAGCTTGAACGCTTGAAATGAGGTCGTGGAAGTGATGGTCATGTAAGATACTGTGTGGCTTTTATACGGTTTTTTGACTCATTTTTAATATTCTTTTCTCATTTCATTCCCCAAAAAATGTCGAAAGCAATGCTTCCACGGATTAATCACCAAACAAAACTTTTGCTAGCTATCTTAGCTATTCAGATGTACATCATATGGTCATATTTCAGCGTTCTCTCGTTGTCTGATCTCTCATCAGCGACGAAGAATATTGTGTTTCAACTCTTCCAATATATGCATTGAATCATGAGCTTCAAAAACATCTGATGGAGGACTAATCATACCAAGATGTTCACCTTTTCTCGCTCAACCATTATTACATTCGTCATCTTCTTCATGATATCATATGCTTGAAAATCTGCATCATTGTAACACACTGCCATTCTTCCGTTTGTATCACCTGGAACATCAGAATATTGTGATGTGTGCTGAGTGCTTGCGCCTGAATACTATCTGGATATAACCTTTGAGCCTATTATTCAGGAATCGAATTGCTTTTCCAACCTTAGCGTTCGATGAAATTTCAGGCTTTGAGTAGGAATGTAGTGTTGAATCTTCAGGGTCATAAGCAGCCACTTGAATCTGAAGCTTCTAACAAGGAAGGTTCATTTAGTCGAAGTGGCCTTTTCAAATGAGTCCTACACTGCTTTTCATTATCTGCAAGCACTTCAAGCACTTCAGGACGCCGAGTTGTAAGTGTTTTTTGGAGCAAGAAATGAACGCAGACTCTGGATAAAATTAACCTTTACGGTTTTTTCAGCGCTCAAGAAGAGCAGTGTTGAGTATCATTGTGTTAGAAAGCAGTAGCCTGGCGAATGAGTGCTCTGATGATTGACACTGGGTCATTTAAGCAATTCTGGACGGTTTTGTTCGAGTTGGGCACACATTTTTCGAGCCCAAAAACGCTCATAACTTGACGTCTAGAAGCGGATGATAAAGACTTAGAACCATCCTTCATTACTTTCCAAAGTGGTGTAGGAGTCACATAAAAGGGCCACTTCTACTAAACGGACCTTTCTTGTAAATAAGCTATTTTATAGGCTTCGTTGCATGATTTACGTCTCAAAAAGAAGGGCGCTGAGTCGCAGCCTTGTGAGCACACCGTCTTGCTTCAAACTATGAATCGAAACTGTTTCAAGAAACGCTCGCAGGTAGTCATTCTTGCTGATTGCAAATCTATGATGGATTGACTATCAATAAATGAGCAACTCACAGGATCTAACGACTCACTAAGTAAAATCCTTTCACTGCTCAACATCCCATCTATCAGATCTTAAACGGCCAACAAAAGTTAGGAGTCAATGCGAAATAACAACGGGTGACAAAATCAAAAACGACATCTCACCATAAAAAATTCCGACCACACTACAGAAAGTAAATGCGGCATTGATGCTTATCATTATCAGCATGAGTGGTTCAAAGAAATTAGTCTGACACAGGGCTATAGGAGTACAGAAAACCAAAAAATTGCCAGCACTTGTAGAAACTTCCTAATAATAAAAATATTTCTTCCTTAACACCCAGGCCTTTATTCGCTGTTTGTTTGTTCTGGCGAAAGGTGACAGGCTAGTTTTTTACTCTAGCAATGTTTTCGTCACTCACCCAGGCTTTGACACACGTTTACGTGTATGAAATAAATAAATAAAATAAATAAACTTTGAGGCCCGGTTTCAAACTTGTTACCCTTTGATTAGCCACTCCACTGGACCGCACCAGAACCTCGTCACAGCCAAATTTGAGAAGAGGGCGCACTGCTTCTGAGAACCTTGTCTCGACAAGGGTATTTTCTTGACAATTAAGGTTCACTTGTAAAATCGTGACGAGGACGTGACCTGCGGTCTTTGCGCCCAGAGGGGCATAACATCCTTATACAGAAAGGTATCACCTCAACGCTCAGCACTGTCACCTCCAATGTCCAAGTACTATCATGCTTAAGCAGAGATGCAGTCGAGTAGAGATTTAAACCAAGATAATGCGGTTAACGGAAGGGGCTGCGTGCCGCGCCGTTCCGCCATTGTCACGATTTTTCGAATGTCCTATACAGTCTAACAGCTTGTTAGTTGGATTCCTGACACCAGTCTAATTACATGACGCGGCAAAAAATTTGATCCTTCTCGCAAACTTCACACTGGGCTACCTATCCCTTACCTCCTTACAATTCACACGTAATTGAAGCAGAACGTATGCAACGGCTGTGTCTCTGCATTTCTTCGTTCTCATCCACACTTTATCTGGTGGTCTTCAAGTAAAACTCATTTTTGTTTTTCATAGCGACGTAAACAGCAATTCGTGGAAACTGTTCTCCAGGGTGGCTTCCAAGAAGCTCATCTTTTCTTATGCCCTTCATATGTTTCGAACGAGCAGATGCAAATGCGATGAAAATGAAAATCAAAAAAAATTTAGCACTCATACTGAACCAGCTGGCATCCCGGGTTTCAACCCGTTCTGGAACCAGCCCATCGTGCTTGATCTCTTATGTGGCAAAATGAGCCCTTCGTTTGATCTCTACTCGTTTCTCTTCACAACGTCCTTACCATAGCTTAATGATCAGCAGATCAAAATGAGCTTTACCGCACATCCTTCATGACTATGGGAAATGCGCACAAACACACAAATACACAAATTTTCTGCTTTATATATAGAGATGGTAAATTTTGGAAAATTAGCATTTTTCGAAAGTAACTTATTGTAAGTCTGTCTGAAATAAATTGGCTAATTTCACGGGATTATCATACTGTGCTCAACTACAATCTTTTGTAAATTGCTGCTGAATATCTCTGTTCTTTTAAAGTGGAGAAAATTTGCTTCAGTTCTCTCCTCGATAAATAACGACAGAGTCAAACAGCTAGTAAGAAATGGTGTTCAGATTTCCACTTGCACAATATCAAATTGAGTTAGTTCTATGCCTAGTGATTGATTTGCTATACATTTTCCCATACTTTCTCAAATCGCTTACCGATCTCATCGGTGGCTGCAAGCTTGCTAGTTTTGAATATTCTCAGTCCACAAACAATATGGATCACAAGCAAACTCAACTGTTTTTTCTTCTGATCAGAAAGGCTAAGTTGCTGCAGAGGAGGAAGGGTTTACATTTTCTGTCGTTTTCGGATGCCGCATAAGTTGGTGTTGCTCAGAAATCTGTGTAGGAGCACCTCGTTGAGCAAGATCCGACACGCTCTCGTCAACTTGAAACTGTGCGCCTGGCATTTGAGATTCGTTCATGGTGGATGAGCATTTATCAAGCCGCCAGCACTAGCATTTTATGTATACTATAAAACTATAAAATACGAGAAAAAAATCTCGCAACGCATGAGGACTGAAGTTGCTAACCAGAATGTCAAACATAAGAAACTCCTGCGCATCGTACCCATGCAATTAGTAATCTTTTATAACTACTGTTTTGGAAGTGATTGAGTTAGCTTTACCAGGGAAGGATCCTTGGTCAAAGGTGGCCTTGACAGATGTGATGGATATATTTTGAAGGGCATCGAACTCTGATTCCAAGTCTGTCCTCCCCATTGCGGAGCGCCTTTAGGCAAGTAATTATGTAAGTTTTGGGGCAAATCTGAAGGCTTGGGAAGAATTATGGGTGTTCCCCGTAAGTTTGAATGGAGCAGCGTTGTCTGTTAAATCACTCCCATGAAAAGAATTTCTGTCTGCTATACCCGTAATCAGCACTAGTCCATCTGTGAATTTTGCAGGGGTTACAGAAATTTTACTCTCGCCGCGCCTTCAATTTTTTTGCTCTCAAAACCGCTCATGTGCTGAGGTGCTCCGCAGATAAGGAAGACAGGTTTGGAATTAGCGTTCGATGCCCTTCAGGGTTACAGGCGACTCACCTTGAAGGACCACTTCGACCAATGATTTTTCCCTTGTCAAAAGAACAAACTTTTTTCGCCGGCAAAACCTTGTAAAATAAGGAAAAACATGCATATAAATATTATATCTTTTCACTTTTAGGCAGCCGATTAATCTATTTTCATTGGTAAACTTGAGAATTACGGTACCTGTGGCCAACTGCTCCCTTGCTTCATCTCTTCCATGCGAGATCATGAGAGTCAAAAGCAAACTACATAAAGTACTTCTTACAGCGGCGGAGGCCTTAGGCCCCTCGGACAGAGTTCACGCGATTTGATCGCCGTGATTCACTCGCTACAGGACAATTGTTATGAGTTCACCGCATGTCGATTGTGATACCTTTCCAGCTCGAATTTTTTGAATGTAAGATGAAAATGAATGAAATCGGCGATTAAATCGCGACGATCAAATCGCGTGAGCTCTGTCCGAAGCCTTCGGGTAACGATTTTTGCCTTCTTGTTTTTTATGCATGAAACTGAGTTTCCAAAAAAACGTAAGTGCTCTACCTAGAAAATTAGGTTTTTTCGAGACAAATTTGCTTCTGTTGTAATGAAACAGATAAGAATGAGGTAAACAAGGTAAATTTTTTCTTTATACGTTGAATTTCCTGCGTAATACAAAGAATGGGATGTTCAAGAATCAAAGTGTATTTGAGAAATTCTCCTTGCCATGTCAAAAAATCACAGCGGCGACAGAACTCGATTTCTGACCAGAGGACAACTATAAGGACTCGATTGCTATGTGTACCATGGCCGGGTACTGGTCTCAATTACCCATTTAATACAAACTTGAAA